TATATGTTTGTATGGACATAATTACTAGAGGCGGTGATATGTGCGTTTGATGTTGTAGTTTTGTTGAAGTTATATTTTGGAATACAGTTTGATTCATTAAGACATTTTAGGATATTATATAGATTAATGTCATAAAAGAGTTGGTATCATCTGCATAAAATCTTAATATTTTGGTCTAGAAGTAAATTAACTTTAAAAGAAACAACAGTCCATACTCATTTATGAGAGATAGAGTATAGAGATAAGAACAGGTTTAGATAGAAATGAAGACGATCAGATATATAGATAGATAGATGAAAACTAACCCTAAATCAATAGGCAGCATCAACTTCAGTTTTAAGAATATATATTATTCTGCAAAACTAAAGCCCGAAATAAAAAAGATATCTATATTTTCAGATGGGCTTCCTTACGCGAATACACATACATACGCATACATCTACAATGACATGCAGACACATAAACATACACAGGTATACGCACACGTATCTACACACAAATGCATACGCGCTATCACTTGTTCATACACTCATCTATATACATATGCACCCAAGCATTCATTCACACGTATAGCTATATATTCACGCATACCTAACTATACACGCATACATAACCATATAATCACACACAAATACGCATACTCTCACACTCCTCTGTATACTATAACATGCGCGCTCACAGACACATTCTCACACGCGCACACATGTGCACCATGCAACAATTTTACGCCATATTAGCAGTATGAAAACTGTTTTGGCAAACATAGTGTCATGAAGATTCCCTGGCGGGCCCTTTAAGGAACTAACATTAAGAGAATAAGTCAGAAATGCAACTTAAGCAATATATGTGTGAGTTCGCTGATCAAATCAGCGGGAGGAAATAAATAATTTTACAACCTAGAAAATGAAGTCGTTAAGTCTATTCACATTTTTATGACCACTATATAAACTCTTGATGAAATGTCTTTAGAATATTTCATCATTTAATGTGAAACTTGCGGCACGCTTTCTTCAGTTTTCAGATAAATGTATTTGGCTTCTCAACCTGCTTCATGTTTCCAAATAGTTTGTCCCTTGATCCTAACATGCTTCATCGTCAGAACCCCACCTCAAAAGACGTATCTTCTGGAATATGAAGAGAAAATGTTTTAAATATACTATTTACAGTTTCGAATAGTTTTTGTCGAAGCTTCGGACACTAAACTTCAGTTCAGCCAATTTCTATTTTATATGTTATCTATGAATAACAAATGGAAACTGAATTCAGATCACAAGCCATTCTTGTTTCGAATGTAGGTGTTTGTGTGTGCCGTCAAGACGTGGACGATTATCGCTCTGCAAAATTTTCTGTTTTTGTAGCCCACAGATACACTTCTTTCTTTATGACCAGTGTTCATTTTTGCGAGAATTGTTCAGTCATCCATTTGCTAGAATTTGTCAAATAGATTACTGGCTGCTTTCTCCTACTTCTGTTTCCTTCGATGTGCCCTGCCAGTGATAAATTCTCCAAGTCTTCTTTCCTTATTATGTATCTCAAATAGTCCAGCTGTTGTTTTCTGATTATTATCAACAATCTCCCTATTCTTTCGAATCACTTTAGAACTTCCTCGTTTCTCACCTTCTCTGTTCATTGTATTCACGACATTTACCTGTAAAACCATATCTCTGCCGTCTCGTGTTTTTATTATTTTGTTTCTTTTTATATTTATTTTTGCTATCATATAAGTGGGTAGAGATTACATTGCAGCGCTCTCTTCTTAGATTCTAATATTATATTTTGATTTTCAGCAACGCTAACCATGTACACTCTCTTGTGGAATATAGGGTTACAGCTTCACCACACCAGAGCCACAGACTCGCCACGTTAAGCGTTGCCGCTGTGTTTTCTGTAACAAGTAGGATTCTTTTTATAGAATCGAGTTGCTAGACTCAGACCTAGCCAGTTTTGACTTCAGAGATGCCCTTCTCTTAGATTGGTTGCCAACCAAATTTAGAAACTCAAGTCACTTTCCTCAATATGTATATTACGTACGTAAGTCATATATATTCCAATGTAGAATACAGAGCCATATCAATACCATGCTAGGTGTTACTGTTATGGATTCTGTAAAAATTAGGTTTCATGCAATGGAGTAGCTAGCCTTGCGTTGAAATCGTTTTTGAATTCTAAGTTATCCTTCTCCTACATTGGTTTCCCATCAAAGCTAAAGTACCCAGTCTTTCCTGCTGTTAATCCCTAACAGGAGGAAAGAGAGATGAATTCATACATTACGAAGCGAACGCAACAGCTTCTGTTGAAATTTAAACATGTCAATCCCATTTTCAGTGCTGATAACAGCTACGCGCCCATTCGTCAGACAGTGATACCTGTTCTTTAATGGTAAGAGATTTAATAGAAGTACACAAAGCATATTAAAATAAACACAGTCCTTCCAGAATTCCATATGATCTTTCTTCTCCATCTTGGTATTCCTCTTTTGAATATGAGCATCTAAATTCGCCTCATAGATGCTTCTTGGCTGCTTTCTGAACAAGTGTAAATTGTCTCTTTCACGATGTTATCATTGGGGAACAACTGTCTTCTGAATACTATTCGGATTGTATACTTTCTGAGTGTCTTTGGCTAGCAACTACCTTCTGTTCCTTCATGGATTCTATCAATATTCTTGAAGCCCACTTTACACAGCCTTTTGAGTATCTAAAAGACTATACAAACTTGCAGGTAGTACCGTCGCTCGTCGAAAGGCTTTCACATATTTTTAAATGATTATTATTCCATCAATTGTAACGAGAGCATTAGTCGGTTTGGCCTCATTCGTTTACACAGAAGCTGGCCTGCCATTGCGAGGCCTGTCACTAAGGTCAATGAGATTGAGAGATTGCTATTAATTCTACTGGTCCATCTCTTTACTGTGATTACACCAAGGGTAGCATTTCCAGAAGCATTGACCTCATGTGGATATTTGCAGCACTTCTCACAGCTTTTTGCGTATATCCAGAAGGACGGCCATTTTGAAAGCGGAATATGGGTAGGAAAAGAATATTTCCCCTGGGATTTTAGACACTTTATGATTTATAGCCTAAAATACTATGAATTTCAACTAATACTTTTAGAATTAAATTAGAACAAACATTACTTTATGACCGGTCTTTGTTACACTCCTCCCTTGTCTTATTTCTATGTATAAATCTTAGTTGTGTGTTATTACATTGACCAGCTCGTTGAATTTCTTCACTTGTTTAATTATGATGTCCCCAATGCAGAAATTGCATCTTGAACAGACCCTTTACTTCCCTCCATGGATTCCGTTTTATGAGCTTTTTTAAGTTAATTTCTTTTTTTATTTTGTTTTGTTTTTGTTTGATTATTTTATTCAATTCACCCTAAGCAAGGCGATAATGCCACTAAGATACAAGGGGCTATTGGAAGAGAAAGGGAAAGAAATTACATTAGAAGGAACCGGAAACCCTATCCTAAACAGAAAACAAGGTAAAAACTTCTACTGCTGTCCAAAATACCAAGGAGATTGGTATAATCGTTTTATTTTATTATGAGTTATTGTTCTTATTGCCCCTAGTAATATCTACTGTAAGGACATATTATGATGGGCCTTGCCTGGCTCCTGTTTTTGGTTAGTAAAATGCAGCATATATTCATCACAACAAAATGAGACATTTATAATATATAATCAGAAGGATTTATTATCTGAAGTATTCTTTTATACAATTTCGGTGGAGTAAAAATTTCTTGTAATGTGGTTGTTAGAATATTTCTGGGTTGCGTTTATATTGGTGAATGAATAGAATTTTTGGAAGTGAATAAGTCTATCTGTAAAGACTATATTTAAAAAGGGAAAGTAATATTTAGCTAAGTTGACTTATCTGTGGTCTTCATTTCTGGAGCTGCTCAGTTCCACGTGCTCTCTTTGCAAAAGGCCGGCTGAAAAAGAGAACATCTCTAAATTTCCCGCCAGTAGGACGGTTTCCTTTTTCCTATGGAATCATGGGAATTACATTTTTTTATTTCACGTAATCACGAGATAACTACAAACGAATCTTTTATCCGTCACAGAACCTTTATTACAATATATTGTTATAATTATTCTGTTTAATTATTAATTATCGTGGTTAATCTCTTTCTCTCCGTCACATAAGTTTTTTTATCGCGTATAGTTATAATTGTTGGCTTTAATTATTCACTATTGTTTCTAATCTCTCATTGTGTCTAATTTATACATTAAATTCTTTCATGGTTATGTATTTATCGTAAGAAATATTCCTCTTAGATAACGAATGCTTCTGAAGTCGCTAAGTGTCTTCATATTTTTAGTACTCTTTTCTTTCCTCTTTCTTAATTTTTTGTTTAGCTTTTGAAAAACATCTTTAGTTATTCCAATGTGCCTTCGATTTTGGTGTTGCCATATCCGTCGTCTATTAAAACACTTCCAAGATATTTAAATTTCTGTATTTGTTTGATGTTGACATCTTTAATTTGTAACCTACATTTTTGGTTGATTCTCTTGATAACAACAATACAATCTGTGTTCTTACAATTGATAGTTAGTCTTTCCTTCCCATTATCCTAATAAAAGCCTCATTGAATACGACCGATACCTGAAGGAGACCTGATTGTATAATAACCAAAATGTGATAAAAACAAAAAAAATAACATCGTTTCATTGAAAAAGTCTTAACTAAAATTTATGCAGCTGAGTAAGTACAATTATCAGCGCTGAAACTTATAAAAGTCATTGGTAAGGTTTCAATTAAGATATCTAAAGGTTAATAGATGTACTCGCCATCCCTGTTGAGAAATAGTCGACGTTGGATTTATCTTGACAGTTGATTAAAGCAGTCTGCTGATAACACTGGTCGGAATTGGGAGACAGATGGGGGTCAGGGGGTATAAACTCTTTGGGCGAAAAGTGAACAAGAGTTTCGCGTTTTCCGTCGCATCACTTTTATTCGTCGTTGCCCAGAAGAGCTTCAACTTTGTTGCCAATGAATTGCATTCAACACACTCCATTTTCTGACGCCTTTTGTAAGACAATTTCTTTTTGAGAGTACCAACCAAAAGAATTGATTTTGATTGTTCTTGCAAAGGCGCTCGTAAAGACAACCCTGTCACTCAATAGATCTAAATATCTTGCATCTTTCCTTTCATTATCTCTTTCTCACTTCGTTTCTTTCTTTTTTATTTTATTTTCTTTCTTTTTTCCTTTCTTTCCTTTCCCTTCCTTTCTTCCATTCTTTCTTTCTTCTATCCTTTCCTTGTGTCCTTCTTCCCTTTCTCCCATCCTTCCCCCATTTCTTTCATTTTTCTTTTCTTTTCTTTCTTTCTCTCTTTATTTCTCCACCACTTTCTTTCTCCCTGTCTTTCTTTCTCTCTCTCTTTTTTCTTTCTTTCTTTCTTTCTTTCTTTCTTTCTTTCTTTCTTTCTCTCTTTCTTTCTTTCTCTCTTTCTTTCTTTCTTTCTTTCTTTATTTCTTTGTTCCTTTCTTTCTTTTGTTCATCATTTCTTTTTCTTTTTTCTTTCCTTCTTTCTTTTTCCTTCTTTTTGTTCTTCTTTTCTTCCGTTCATTCTTTCTTCCATCTCTTTCTTTCATATTTCCTCCCTTTCTTCCATCCTTCCTCCATTTCTTTCTTTCTTTCTTTCTTTCTTTCTTTCTTTCTTCATCCTAATCTTTCTTTCTTTCTTCTTTTCTTTCTTTCTTTCTTTCATTCTTTCTTCCTCCTTTTTTTCTTTCTTTCTTTTCTATCTCTTTTTCTTCATCCCTTTCGCCCTTCCTTCCTTTTGTCCTTCTTTCTATCTTTCTGGCTTACCTCTTGAGAACGCAACTGTCTCAAACTAAAACCATCTCCCATCTGTTTTCTTTATCTCCTTTGTCTTGCAGTCTCATCTCATGGGGATGCGGATAAAATATCTCAGTCCGAATGTAGACAACCAGGTTTGTGGCATTTTCATTATCCCCTCAATTTAACGTTATCTCAGTTCTTGTGTGGCTTACAGTAAAGTTTATGCCAGTATGAAACGCGGGAGGTGACGTAATGATTATCGATACGGTAAAATGAAATTGGCAATTCAAGTTCAAAGCTCACTTCGTAATAATGCCCTCCTAAAAGACATGAATCCACTTATCCCTATGCTCTGCACCATCGCCGAAAAACTTGTCCTTTCAGGATGTGTACGGTCATGGCTTTCCAAAATTCAATATCCTTCGTCTCCTTTCTACTCTCTCAGTCTACGTAAGTACTCTTCTTTTTTATGTGCCTTGTCTCTTCAGGATGCGAGTGATCATGACTCTCCACAACTTCCTATTCTTCGTCTCCTTTCTACCCTGTCAGTCTTTGTTGATATTCTTTTTTATGTAACTTGACTCTTTAGAACATGAGTGATTATGGCTCTCCACAACTTCCTATCCTTTATAGCTCTAAGTACTGTACTCTTACTCTCCTTCTTCTAGTACCTGTAACTATTCTTCTTCTTTTATGCAGTTGTGTAGTGTTTCTTTCTTTTCTTTTTATGCACCCTCTAGTGTTTCTCCATATCTGGTATTTTTACATCATTCCATATGGGTTGATGTCAACCCTTTCCCATACACACATGATCAGCTATGCTTGATTTAATTGTCATACTTAATTTACGGCTTTTCAATGTTTTGACAGCTTTACTTTTAGAAGTGCGGCTAGTTTCATCTTTATATTCTTTGCTATAACTTTAAGGTATGGAATACACAGTTCTTAGTCCTGTTCTCATCTGTATTTGGCTTGACTCGAGCTAATACACTGGAGAAAATAACCAGGAACTGCGTGTATTCAATTTATTGATGTGGACAATCATGGCTCTTTCTACTTCCAATTCTTTTTAGCTCTAAGTTGTTTGTTTCCCTTCTATCACTCCCAGCCCCTGTAACTGTCGGAATGCGAGAGATCATGGCTCTCCACAATTTTCTATTATTTGTAGCTCTAAGCAATGTTTGCACCATTATTATCCTTCCCAACACCTGTTCTGTAATACATTTACATAAGTTTGTTAGGTGGGTTACTTAATGTTTGCTTCTGTCTCTTTTGTCTTCGTTATGTTCTGAGTGTCCAATTCTCCAAGCCATCTTACCTTAATATACCAGAATATATTAACAAAATAGAGAAGTGATCTCGAGCAAAAAACTAGATTGAAACGCAGAGTTTCATCCCAGCAAAAGCGCCGTTACATCCTTCCCAATCTTGACAATACGAGAAACGGCGTAACTATTTCCGGCACCATTTATTGTTGTTGTTGTTTATGTTTACTTCGCTGTAATACCAACAAGAAAGGCATGAATCTGCTTTTCCCAGATATCTTCACAAAAATATCTCGTCCTTGACTTTGCCCTGGTATTCGATAAAGAAATGAGTAAAACTCTCTTCCGTTACTTATAAACATATCACAGGCCGTAATAATTCTGGTTTATGTGATCTTATAAGACAAAGTTTTTAACTTAAAACTAATAAAGATAATAGAATGTGAGGGTTGTGTAATGGTTAACGATACGAGGATATGGAATCGGCGTACCGAGTTCAAATTCTGACCGATTACATTTACGTTCATTTAGCCAGGGTATAAGAGACTCTCCTTTTCTACTAAGGAGATCCTCATAGTCTACCATATGCGCTGATTCTTTCAAACGTCTAACCCTCTAGTGTTTTTCCCTGTCTGGTATTTTTACATATTTCCATATTGGTTGGTGTCTACCGTTTTCTATACACACATGATCAACTATGCTTGATTTAATTGTGTCACACTTAATTACGGCTTTTCGATGTTTTGACAGCCTTAATTTTAGAGTGCGGTTAGTTTTATTGCAGTTGTGGCAATGAATATCAGATTAAAGATTTAATGAATTTGGCGACATAATTATTGTTTTCAGTCTGTGGGTCGTGTAGTTGGATCTAGTAGAAATGGGGTGAACAATAACTGAGATGATCAGTGGAACGATATAAATCTACACCTGTAGGTTAAATAAAGGGTTCAGTTTAAAATTCTCTGAAGGTTATCAAACACCCGATGAAGACCGAAGAGCACAACGGCCGAATATTTTTGATAATGACAACAAAAATTGTGGATAATAGTACGCATGTCAATAATGTAAATAATGATAACTCCACATTCCAAAAATTCAGATAGAAAGTAATATAATACTTCTTTGTGTACAAGGTGTTGGTGATCAGACTCTCCACAACTTCCTCTCCTTTAGAGTTCTTAGTAATTTTTGTCTTTTTGCCGTATCTCCTAATCCTTTTTCTGCCAATTCAAGCTCATTAGGTAGGTGCTTTCCTCTGTCCTACTTGTCTTCAGTTTATCCTGTGAGTATCAAATTCTCCAAACCCTTTTTCCTCATTATGTTTCCTATAAATTTACATTGTTTCTTTCTGATTCTACGTATAAGAGTCTCTTCTTTTCTTTGTTTCTCTTATATTCCGTGCTAATAGGAATATATATTTGAAAAACAAGGTGGATAAAATAAGTAAAGGTTTATTGTAAAAAACCAGTACAATAAGAATAAAGGTAACAGTTATGCACAAGGTCGTCTCAAGTCAATCCAATAGTGAGTGCTACTATTGGAAAGTCGGTAGTTCTTGCGTAAGTCTGAGTCGTACTCAACAGATCGCAACTAGTAATATTTGCCAACCTCCCCAAGGGGTAGAATGTGGCACAAGGCCGAATTTAATGGGGAGCAATCCGAAAAATTCCTCGTAAACCCCGCAATCCAAAAATTCCTCGTAAACCCCGCATAAACGGATTCGGGTCTGTCTACCTCCACGGACAAGACTCTGCCCTTCAGCAGTGCCTCATCCGGGTTCCTCTCTGCCCGAAGGCAGAGAGTTCGACAACAGCTAAGAGCTGAGTAACAGATCCCAGATACTTACCGGTAGTTATTACCTATAGTGTAATCACTCATGGGGGTGACATGTTATTCCATTACATCAGTTTCTAACTAAATTTTTCTGTTTCTGAATAATTTGCTTAGTTTTTGGAAGGCATCTTTTACTATTACAATGCACTTTCCGATTTCGGTGACGCATTTTATGTCTTCTGTTAAAATTCTTCCTAAATATTTAAATTTTTTGTACTTGCTTGATTTTGATATCTCCAATTTTGAATTCGCCTGTTGGGTTGTTTGTTTTGCTGACAACAATATAGTCCGTCTTCGTACAATTGATGTTTAGTCCTTTCTTCTCGCTTTCTTTTACTACCTTCTCTTGGAGTTCCTACAGTTTCATTTCTATATCTGCTATCAACACTGTGTTATCTGCATATCTAATATTGTTAAGATTTGTGGCCGCAAATAATTAATCTTTATATGACTTCTAATTCTCTACAGGATTGCTTCACTGTAAAGATTCAATAAGTCTCATTGGAAGATACATAAATTTGTTAAATATATACATTGTTACATCGAGTGTCAGAATACTTGCATAAATAATATATAATATGCCTGTAACTAAAAAAAGATGGTAGTTTATCCGTAACTGCATAGATATTAAAAAATTAATATGCTAGCGGGATTATGAAGTAAAATAACAAAGAATAATAAAAGCGCTTCTTTGGACTTTGTTTTTTGTTTATTGAACGTCCGTATATTAAATTAATTAATTAAATTACCCAGTTGGAATAAGTTTATCAGTTCTCTCACGAGAAAACACTTTTTTTCGTTACTATAGGGGGGGGTATCCATTTTTTTCGGCCAACATACTCTCTAATATTCATCAATTATATGCTGTATCCTTCCTGCTGTTATGAAAAAACACATTTCACTCAAAGTGTTTAGTTACTGTGTAGATATATAGACGGATTTTTCGGTCAATCTCTCACTTATTCAACAAAGAAACGGAAGATGAATGTTGCCAAAGCGTGAAAAGAATATACGAATCCTGTTTTTAATATACTAACTCAATTATGATAAACCTATTCCGAAAAGGTAATTTAATTAATTAATTTAATCACCTGGTACTGTCTAGGAGTAAGTAAGTGATACTTGGTATATCTTCGCTGCTACTTCTGTCTTCTCTCACGACAGACTAACAGACCAGATTTTCTTTTCGGCCAGTGAAAACTCCAATTGCAACTCTTCCCATCTCTGAGTGCAACTGTGACTCTCACTGCCCCTCTCTACATTTCGTCGGACGGATTGTGATCTAAAATTCCGCCTGATTAGATAAGACAATAACAAGTGGCTGGGTGGCACTATGTGCCGAAAGGTTTCATTTATTTATTTATTTATTTTACAGTAGTTGCTTTAAAATTCTCGCATCTCGATTTTACTGGCAGTCATAAAATACCAGTTGCTTCCAGCTCAGATAAAATAATTTGTACTCCATATGACTGTGTGGGTGTTCTTAGCGAATCGAGTGAGGACACGTTGTATCATAGCTGTAATATCTTGTCATAAGCCCCCACTTACGTGGATGTGCGGATTGTGCAAAATGGAATCGAGGAGCCGAGTTCGAATTTCAGACTGTAACTTTGTTTTCACCACACAGACCTTGAGAGGCGTGAATCCATCTATTCCCGTAGCAATAGGTTAAATAGAGGATCAGACAAGGTTCTCTAGTCTTCTCTAAAATGGCGAACTGAATCAAATTCTCACTTTCAACCTTTGATAGAATTCAAAGTCGTTTACATAGTCTTATAGAGAAAAAGACATATTTTCTTCCCTAGCATCTTCATTCCCACTAACGCAACATCACAAACCTATCAGTACTCTATTGCTATTTTCATGGCAAATGCGCAAATGATTTCAATTCCTTAGTTCTTCAATTCTGACAATCTCAATGAGGACACACCATACT